GTCTACTGAGTCTACTTTACATTTGATCGGACAACCATGCAATCATGCAATTCCAAGAAAGATAGCTTAAAGATAATTCATCCAACCTAAGGGAACGGCTCATATGCTTCATTTCTAGGTTGTGATCAGATCGAGGTTTCCTAAAGTTAGCCCTAAATCCATAGGATTTTCCAATGATTTTCCCATGGAAAACCATCCATTTCCCTGGAAACAGCTGAAACAGGTCACGGCACCTCATAGGATCCATCTGTCGCTGCGAGCGATTTCCTAGGTGCGGCTGCGCCGAAGGGGCGTTTTTTTTTTTGGGGGGGTCGAATGAGAAAACACATTAATCATTAAAATACCGTTGAACAGTTGGCTGTTTTACATCACTTTTAGACTCTTTTGGATTCTTTTGGGACATCTTACTGTTCTTATGGCTCAGTTTGCAGTATGCATTCTGTTCAACAGATATTCTTAGTTTGGTGAGTTTGGTTGGTGCATTCAGTGCATCAAACCAAGCGTGTTGTGCTGACTTTAGCCTAGCGCCGATACCGCCGAAGGAGGCCCTTGGCGAGGCTGACTCCATGGATTTCTCCTGTTCCTGGCAGTCGGCATTGTGTGCAGGTGGTCAAGGTGCAGGCTGGGCTGGAAACATGGTGGAAAACGATAAAGTGTTTGAAGGAAAATCATCTACACATGGTTTTTAAATGGTTTTTAATATCCATGTTGGATTGGAGGGTACATCTTGAAGTCGGCAGTAGGCATGAAGTCGGCAGTAGGCAACGCAATCAACACCCAGATCAATGGCCAACAGACCTGTGCAGGATTCGGATGCCAAAATTGATGAACTCAAGGTGCAGCACTAGCTGGTCGACCAGCTTTGTGCTCGTACACATTTGTTTCAGAAAAATTGAGAGATTATGGGATCTTCAGAGATGCCAAGAGCGTTTTATCTTTTCGGAATATCAACCCCAGATTAATAAACCCTGACTGTTAATTGAAGGGGTAATCCCCAAATTAGTGATGACATAGTATCAATTTTCCGTAAAAAATGCTACCCACTCTATTAGGAAACTAAATGAAACGCTAAAAAAAATCCTATTGATTGAACCCTTGTTAATTCATCAATATCAATAAAACTATGAATCAACGGGGGATCTGCGGGCTCAGGCTGCTGCGCAACGCCTCTTGGATGAACCAGTGCTGGCGCAGCGTATCGCTGGTACATCTGCAGCGGGGGAATTCATCGCGCAGGTGGCGTTCTGGACTTAGTGACTTAGTGGATCTCAGAGAGATGTGATGGGTACCAAAAAATAACACGCAAGTCAATGTTGGAATCATGTAACACTATAACTGGAGTCATGATCATAGTTACCAAAAAATAACTGGATAGTATGTTCGAAAAGATTGAAAAGATCATGACATACTTGAATCATCTTGAATCATGTTGACCTATTTTTTTCTTCACATTTTAAACCATTTTATTTGGCAGAGTTTCTGTTTGGCATGTCTCAGAACTGCTACAGGATGCCATCCTGTAAAGCCGCTGTTCAGACACCGTGCTGAGGGCCGCCAAAGCGATGGAACCTGTTGAGGCTCGGGGTTAAGGGCGATCCAGCCTGGAGCACGGGCATCGGATGACATCAGATTGTGATAAGCAATCCCTCTGAAACATGGAACTTCCAAACAAAGAAGAACATGAATTCAATGAACAACATTATTGGTTTCCTCAGGTCCATCTTCTCTTTTTAAGGCAGTGACAGTTCCAGGTTCAGCTGTAGATGTGACCGCACCGTGTGCATCCCCGCTGCGACAGATATGCTGCAGGCGCCAATGCCCACAGCCCGACAGCTGGAGGTTCTTGGGAAACTGGGTGTTAAGCACCAGCTGATCAATTTTTTCTGTGGGGGCCATTTCAAATATCATGGATATTGATGTTATATGGGTCTTATATTTTAAATATATGTTGTTATATGGGGGCCCAACAACACTTTGCATACTCAAATTACTCAAGTGATTTCAATTGTGATTGTACTTGTTGCTGATGCGCAGCTGACGCGCAGTTGTACTTTTTGCACAACTTCATTCCCTTCGTGGGATTTGGCTTCTGTGACAACTTTGTTGCTTACTTAGCTTCCAGATATTCTAGATGCTTCCAGCCTCAGAAGCATCTTCAGAAAAGTGCATCAGGTCATTGTGTCATATTTGTGTCATATTTGTGTCATGCAATCCTGTGCCATGACTGAGATCATGATCCTAGCTGGTGCAACCCTCAGAAAAATGAGACAAGAGGTATCAAGAGGCCCAATTTACATTCAAAAGTCACCACAGAGGAAACTGGGTGATGATGATCTGTACCCTTTGGTTGTGGCGAAGGGTCATGAATGTGACATATCGACTCAACAAGCACTTTGCAAAGTGGTTTCAACACTAGAAGCCCTGCTTTATGTGACAGGATATGCACCATTTTCAAGGAGAACAGCCAATTCCCCCGTCAAGGTGACTACATCGATGCGAAACTGGGGCTTGCGATGGGCCTTAGCACCATGGCTGCTGCTGCTTGGGGCAACACTTTCAGGCGATGGTCCTTGATTTGCCGCACACAGTACGTGATCATGGTGAATTTATTGGCAACCATGAGCCATAACCAATTACCTCCAAAACGCTAAGATTGTAATGATGCAATGAAATTGCATGTTTTTTTTTTGCGACCAACGCTTGCTCGCAGTGATGTCATTGGCCTTTGGATCTCTGGTTTCATCGAGACCTTCGTGGCATCGTTTGAAGCTCAACCTGTCGCCTGCAGCCGCAGCCGCATGGATTCCCACCAACGGACAGCCATCCAAGGAGTGGACTCCCTGGCCACGAGCTCACCAGCGGCCAAATGTGAAGTCCTTAGACATAGTGGATCTTAGTCGCCTTAGCACGCAAATGACCAACCAACTGGATGTACTTAGCTCATGGTTTCTGTCAAAATTCAGATCGTTTAAACTTGTAGATCTTGTATGATCTTGTCATATTTTATTTCATGTTTACCAAAACGTGATTTTTTGAAGGGCCCAGTGCCTCCATTCTGTTGTGGTCTGGGCCCTCGATGCTTTGACAGGGAGCTTCTGACGGTGCGGATTGTCAAGAACACCTCGATGATCGTAGGCTTGGCCGAAGTGGGGTGGTCTTCATGTTTGCCATATATGATATAGGAATCTAATGGAATCTTTGTAAGTAAATAGCAATGGAAATCACTTATTTTGACGGGTTCAAGATGTTTTTTGCCACATGGGAATCCATAATAATATGAAATGATGTGAAGAAGAATACAAAAATGAATCAGTTTGGTGTTTTTTTAGGAAGAAAACAACATATCTATCCGGGTCTATCTGTATTTCCTACGGGATCTTTTGTTGCTCATGCCCACCTGGAAAGGCATATCTTTCGGCTGCATCCTGGGCATGCTCCCTCTGATCTATCCAGAGGCTCAGAACTCGGAGAACTTGGGAATGTCTGCTTCCGGAACCAGCTGAACTATGCTGAACTGCTGAACTTCGGTTTTCAGCGTTTTCCTTCTTTTGGCAAACTCATGGCAGGTTGTTTCAAGATGAATTTAAAGCTTAAGGCAAAGACTGTAATTAGGTAAGAAACTTACGATGTTTTCATGACCTGTGACCTGATCAATGGGTCAGCCGGGGTGAGGAGTATCGGATTTGGCCCTCTCGGCACGACTTGGAGGCTGGAACGGATGGAACGCCTGGAACGGCTGGAAGGTGACGGAAGGTCCTAGCCCGCTGTCGCCAGGCCGCAGACGCGGGAGGACATGAGTTTGCAGGGCATGAGTCCAGCGCTTGAAATGCTGCAAGCTCAGTGACTCAAAAATATCAAAATCTCAAAATAGATTTGCAACTGAGCTTGGCTGTTTAGAATTCAAACTGTAAAAGTCTATAGACGGAACATGACTGTCAAACTCGTGAATCCAAACCAAACCATGTTAACATGGTATATATATATAATTATATATATAATTATAATTATATATATATATAGCTGATGAGAGGTTTGCACCCCAATTTTTTGTGTTTTGGCAATTTGCAACTTTTCCTTGAGCCATGTTTCTCAGAAAAGGGTGCTCGATGGTGCTCAGGTGTTGTTGATCGGGTAATTCATGGCTCCCCAAACGGGAATTGAGCAGTGGATGTTGATCAAAATTGTATTCTAAATCCCAGATCGCCTTCCTGCATCCCAATCTCTTCCAGCTCATGTTGTCACTGGAAAGGATAGGATTGATTAGGATGACAAATGATGACAATATCAAGCACAGGACCTTTGGAAAACAATAGATATATCGAGAATTATTGAGATCAGGAAGGATGCGTTGAAACGAGGCCTGCTTCACAGCCATGGCACACCAATTTTAAAGGGCTGTGCCAGTTGGCCCGAAGACGTTATGGAACTCTTTAATGCCAACGTTCGTCCCATTCTGGGATGTGACTTTTTCATTGAGCAAGGTGCAGTGCGTCTGAAGTCTCTTGTTGCTAAATGTTCAGCTGTATATTGATATCCTCCATTGATTCAACAGAACACCTTGGAACTGCTTTGAACTGGGTCACTTGGGTAGTTAGGTGTACAACTTCCTATCCCACTGTGGTGAGTGACAACATTGAGAACTGTTCATGTTTTTCTGCAAGATGGACTGCACTTTGGCGAGATGTTCGATCTTCATGTCCGTGCGGGCATCCCTGTGAGCGAGCCAATACAGGGGAGAATGGGTCGAGGATGGGGGATGGGGCATGGAAATCATTGGACGTCCACCATGGCATGGCTCAGGGCTGATCTCATCACTCTCCGCAGCTGCGAGATTCATGGAGGTGACAGAAAATGAGTCGAGGTGAGACATGGAGATTGTCTCTGGAGACCTGAGCTCTTGCAACGCGCTTAAATTTTCAAATCTTTCAACAGCACTTCTCAGCCAGTATCACTTTGGCACAACTCCCGAACCAAAACGTGACCTTTGAATTCTACAAAAACCTCAATCACCCTGCCTTCCCATGCGGCCGTGGCCATTTGATGCCTGCGATTTCGCGAGTGACGGGCTCAGAATTTCCCAGACGAGCCGGGAGGTGAGCCGCTGCTAGCTGCCAGGCAAAGTCATTGGGGATCATTGCAGTGGCCCTCAATGCTGGTGTGTTGCTGCTGTTCATGGTACACCTCTCGCCGCAGTTGCAGGCTGGGCCGCTGGGCCACTTGCTGTGTGATTTTCTGGCAGTTGAAGCCATGCTGGGCAGGGTGTAGAAATGTGTAGAATCTACATACCGACATGATTGCAGCAGAGGTGTTGCTCTCTGACATTTTCTCAGATGAGGAGGTTGTGTGGATCTCAGAGATTTTCGATCAAGATGGGGGTTTCCTAATGGCTGGTACCCCAATAGCTGGATGAATTTATACTGGACAATCCCATCTATAAGTGGATTATTTTGGCATTTGTGGGTACCCCGAACTTTAGGAAACCTCCAGATGGGTGCGGTGATACCGCCATTTTGGTCACCGCAAGGACTACATGATACCGCCGGATCCTGACCCCTTGGAGTCCTTGGAGGATGATACACCAGTGGAGTCACTCGCCGAAGGATTTTCAGAAGTCATGAGGTTGTTTCAAGTGATCAAACCTCTGTTGGTTGATGATATGGGATTATACTACACAATATATACGTATACATATATATAATATATGTACATATATACATATGTATGATATACACATATATGATAATATACATAAATCAAATGATATATATATATTATCATAATCCATTTTGGGAAACCCTATTAACCAAGATGCCCAAAAAATTACCTATTCTTCTTGTTTGCCTGTTGGAACCTGGCAGAAGCGTGGGCTCTCACATCCTCCAAACAGAAGCGGAGATCGAGTGGTTTGCAGACCAGGCATGAGTCTTTGGTGTGATTTGGGGGCTTCCTAAAATAGGGACCCCCAAAGCCATTGCTTTTGATTGAACGCGACTAATTTTGGATCTTGATGGAATCCTCCCATTTTAAGGAACCACCATTTGATTCAAAGCTGAAAGCAGCCTGTTTTCCCTTCGACCAGGCAGTCCACAGCTTCACAAAGTGGAAGGGTGTACGCCATAAGGAGGCCAGATTACTTGTGGAAGGGGCTGGCCCTGGAATGTGTGCAGGATCTTGCCTAGGAAGAGATGCTGCTGGTAGTTGATCTCTTTTAATTTGAAGGACATTTTGCTTTCCAACCAGCTGACGTCGAAACAGCATGCAACCTTGACCGCCAGTTTTGGACTCCCGGCCCAATATGGGGAGGAGTCTTTATTGTCTCAGCCTTGGATTTCCCTTTTTTTCCCTTTCGGAGCACATGCTGAGCAGTGTTGAGTGCAATAAGGTCTTGACGCTCTTCCTGAATGGCGTCGCTCCGTATGTGATCCGTGGCCTAGCCAACAGTAGACTACCCGATTGCCATTGATGAATTCCATGATCCACTTGCCAAGGCTGCTACGAGCTCCAGCATCAAGTGGAGAAGGTTCGGACCGAAAGGGGAACGTTGTTTATGGCATTTTATGGATGTTTGTGGCACCTTGCTGATTTTGGAACAATCTTGAACCAAAATCGCATCCTAGTTTATTTGTGTTCATTTGCTGCCAATGTTTTTTAAAATTATGTGTTTCGTATACAAGGCCGCCTTGACAACTTGGGAGCCACTTCCTGCTACTCTTCCTGCATGAGGAACAAGCTGAAGCCTCGCAAGACAAGGACCAAACCAACTCGACCGAGAGTGAACCTGGCAAAAAAGCCGAAGATACCGAAGCGCAGCCATGTTTCCGCTCAACCTTTGGGTCACACTGGCAGCAGTTGATCGACATTTGAAGTTTGGGCCAGGGTTGGGGGGTTTGTGACCGCCAGCCGTGCAGCTTCTTTACGCTCAATGGAGACCTGATGTCCAAGTCATGGCAGCAACAAGTCTCTCATGTGCTCTACTAAGTCCACTAGATTTTTGGATGCTTTTGGATGATTTTGGTCCCGATTAGACTGATTTAACCTCCTTGTTTCGCAAAGAACATGTAGAACCTGGATGAATCTGGCACAAGAAAGACTGGTGCAGAGACCTTTTTGGGGATCCTTTGATAAAGTTCAGCACTCTCAGCCCAACAGCTGCATTTTGATTTCGAAATTTTCATACCTCCAGTGCTGATGGCCACGTCCTGCAGACGTAGGAAGGAGGCTGGGTGAGGAGAAAACAATGATATCCTCTGCGATTTTTGTTGCAATGGATTGAGATTTGATGATCAGAGAAGACAGAAACTTGATGTTAGATCAGTTTTATATCACACCCCTTATATCTCAGTATAGAGGTATACCGGTAAACCGGTAAACCCTCGTGATGATTGAGGAAACTGACATTTGCACCTACCGTTTGGTGTATCGAAGCTGTAGATACGTCAGTATATGTCGAAAATCCATTGCAGGTCAACAACCCTAGAGCTGTACGAGCATGGGGTGCGGTTGCAATCGCAACTCTTTTCACAACCTGCCGTGGGCTGAGACAGAAACCTCTCACTGGTTCCCATAATGCAAGTGTCCAATGCGTTTGACTGGTTAATGGACATTCCCATAATGGGTCAGAAGATATCAGAAGTATCCTTATGTAACTAGTTATGTCGACTACAAAGCCTACAACAATCTACCAGTTGGTCTTTTGGGCACTGCTCAAATGATTTGCATGGAAGTCAAGCATCAGTATTTTTTTGGACGTTTTCCACACTGAACATGTTCTTCTGCTCCCCTTGGAAGGGATTTCTGCATCGTCCAGGGGTGCCAGGTCTGGTGTTTAGTGGCCGAGGCCGGCACTGCGTTTTCGCTTATGCCGGCAGAGGCATCAGCCCCTTGAAGTCAGATATCGAGGTGCGCTGCCATGCGCTGAAATGACAATCTACGGAAAAGAGACGTTGGAGTTTGGCAAGTCAGTGGGATTTAAGATTGGAAGGGATTTTCTAGGTCTACTTTAAGATCTTTGAGAATCACTGACATTTCAAGATTTTGACCCTTGTCTTTTGATGTCTTTTGTCTGGGCTCCGTCAGGTACTGGGCGTTTTAAGAGGACGGCTGGTTGTTGGCTATCATCCAGGACTGGAGGTGCCACTGCAGCTTCACCTGGATGCACCTGGTCTATTTTGCAGTTCGCTCCATGGTTCCGCTGCTAGGCAGTCAACGTTTTTGCCAATCAGACCAAGCTGAAGCCCCTGAAAGACCACAAGTGGTTGGAGCAGGAGAAAAGCCGAATAGATCCGAATGAATCCTTAGATTGCCGGGCAAAATCCGCTTTACAAACCAAAGTCGTCAAAGTCGCTGTTCTTTAAAGTTTGCATTCCACTGGAGGGCGATGTGCGTCAAAACAAAACAACTGGCTTAATCTCTACCCACCAGTGGCTTGGTACTCTGGTCAATCATATTGTCATATAGTAGTTAGATGACGGTTATGTGACTGTTGTATGCTTGAGGAGCGTCGTTATGGCGAACGAGATTGCAAGTGCCCTCTCGCAAAATTCCATCACTTACCTTGACGCAACTCAAATGACTTGTGTATCCCGCATTCATTTTCTCATGCAACGACATGGTGGTGCCATGTGGTGCCTGGTAGGTATGCAGAGTTTGCCATACCACCACTTCCTGCAGAGATCAACGTCCTTGGTGGAAAACTCAGCAGTGACTTAGGACGTTCAGATTTTATGTAGGAGGTTGCTAGGTGATTTGTAGTCTTGCATCTAGTGGTTTGCTACTAGCGGTTGTGACAGTGGTTTGAATACTGTAGTTGTTGATGACATAAGCTGCATTGCAGTTGACACCCCTCATACAGTCTTGCCAGAAAACAGTATAGATTCTATATGATTATATATTGATAGGTGAGCTGTATTCCGTTCTTGTTCGTCTGTGTTTCCCACTTTTGTAACTGGCTGTTTTCCGGTTTCCATATTCTGTTAGTTTGTGCTTCCCAATCTTGTCAGTTTTTATTTCGTGGGTTCTATTTCCTTTTGCATAGTCTTTCCTATGTGTCAGTTTCTGCTTCGGTGGGTTCCTATTTCTGTTGACTTGTTTTTCCTAGAGCAAGTGATCAAAGTGAAACTGCAAAACGTGCCAAAGGGATAAACCTGCCAAGGTAGGAATTACCTTGATGAATTGTCCCTTAATAATTTTAACAAGTAGAATCTTGAACCACTTGTTTGTTTGCGAACCAAACACACACATCAGACACGAACGCATTGTGAGTATGAATCATGGAACAGCTGAGAAGAAACATTAGTTGACATCATGCATGCCCCGAAACAAATCCAAGACAGCGTCTCTAACTTAAGAATATATGCATGTCTGTTTGGCGTCACTGTCGTAAATATAAAGAAAGACGGCGATGCCAGGTCTGACATGTTGTTTGAATTGTGTTCGGAAGGTGGAACGGTGAAGGCTTGCTTGTCCCAAAAATGGGAACAAAAGTGAGAATCTGGCACAAGCAGGATCGTACGAGCTATGCATAGCCTAGCTAATGCACAAAATATGCTAGGATCTCCTCGTGTACATGCAAGTTTGTGGCATCGTTGGTCTCACGTTGTTTTCGTTTGTGTTTCGAATCTGTGAGGTCGTGCAGTCGGCGGACGGATTGTCTTGAACGAGGGCTCCTCAGGATGCTCCATCCATAAATCACGGATCCGTAATGCTCGATGAGAAGACAGGAAGACTTTGACATCGCTAGTTGTTGGTGTTATTGGCAAACATATGGTCACTTCTGCAAGCTGGCAAAAAAAGATCTCACTGGTTTCGCATCATTCCAACGTGTTTCCTGTCAACGCTAGGGTTATCATCACTCCCACGAATTTGTATTACAAGTGTCATTGTGGTCTTCTCTGGGGCCTGTCATCAGCGTCATGGTCTTCGTTAACCAGATTTCTTGAATTATCAATCATCATCATACTGGTTGCATCATCTCTACAACCATCGCAGCCACTGTGGTCAATATCCCTCATGCCGTCATCATGAGATGATGCACCCATTGAGGTGACAAACTACTTGGGTGAGGAAAAGGTGCCTAGCGCAGCGCAGTGGAATCAGCGCAGTGCCCAGTGACCTCAACCTCTGTGTGAAGGTTAGGCAATGGGAATGCATCTGATCTGAGGCAATTCATGCGAAAAAAACGCGCTTCTCCTACAAGACCAAGATTGCAGGTGCATTCCCGCATTTTCGCTTGTTGGCTGCATGATGTGTTTTGAAATGGTGCAAGGACCGACGGATCCGCGGACTTCAAGACAGGCGTGTTTGATTCAGAATTCTATGCTGCTGAAAGAAGTGTTGATGAAATGACTGGTGAAGCAACATTTCAAGAGTTTTCAAGTTCATCAACTGCGCCAGTGGCTGGTCGTGAAGCAGAATCTGATGCGAATTGGCTGTGGAAAAAGGGATCGTTGCAGGAGGAACTTTGCAGGAGTCATATGGAAATCAGTACAATGGATCGGGGTCAAACTCAAATCCAATGATCCAGATCTTCAGGTCTCAAACACGGGCTTTTACACAATCAGCTTTGTTGACCAGCTGTGTTGACTATGCAGTTGAGCCATCTCAAATCCGAACTCCTGGTGGAAACTCGAAGCCGCCACTCATGAGATTCTAGTATGGTACTTCCTTGCAACTTTCTGGAGCAGAGCACTTGGCCACATTTGCCTTTGTATTTGTATGTATTTGTGCTCCTGCAGCTTTTTCACTTCTCAGAAAGCAATGACAAATGGTCTCACCAAATCCAACTGGAATTTAAAGCACGCTGAGGCAACAGGCCTTTATTTTCCCATGCAAAGTGAGCTGGCAGATCGATAGGTCGAAGCTGACACGTGTAGTGAACTTTCGAAACTTGCCAAAGCGCACATGCCGCGTTTCTCTCCAGGGTCTGATCAGACCAGTTTTTCCCACGTGGAAGACGGCGCATTCAGAACAGCCCAACAGCAGCCCAGAAGCTTCGGCAAATCATTGGTTCATTCCACAACACCTGTAGCCTTATTTTTGTATATTTTTGTAATTTGAAGACTTCTTGGATCCTTCAAGATGCACGTATCAAAGATTTTGAAAGGTCTAAAACAGAGAGTCGAGGAAGCACGCTACACCAGTAGCAGTCATCCAGAGCAGGTGACTTTGTTCAGCCTCTGAGGATTGGCTTCGCTGGTTTTTCCGAGCCGCTGAGCAGTCTGAGCATCGAATTCGGGTGGAACACTTAGTCGAACACGTCTTTTTATAGATAGCATTAGATAGCTCTGTTTCTATCAGAGGGACTCGAACCAGTGAGTAATGTGATTCTCTTGACACCTTCGCAGTTGATCACTCAATTTGTTGAGAAGCTCTGTGGAGTTCCCTAAGCCACAAATTTTTGGACTGACTGCTGGCTGGATTTTATTTCCACATCTTCTACTGGTAGTGTCAGATCTGACCACTTGCAGAATCGAAGCATGTTGCCCAGCGGGTGGTCTTGAAGACAGACCCTCCCAGGGAGTATGAGTTTTTGAAAGATGGTGCCAGCAGGCAAAATCAGCTTGGAAAGTGCTGGGGCATGCTGGGGCATCATTTTGACCGAGGGGGCAGGCTTGCTCTTGGCACAGAACGGTGGGTGGTAAGAATGAAAACAGGGCAAAACAAGGAACACAGGAACCGCTGAAGACAGTGTGACAAGAGCTGCCAAGTCTTGAGAGGTCATACGGAATATATCTGTGGGTTTGACAATCTTAAAAAACATGATAAAACCGCGTGATTAGAATTTGTAGCTCTTGTCTCTTATTAGATTCTTTGCCAGAACGGAGCTGTTCCTTCAAAATTGCTTTTAACCTTGTGAGTGTTGGTGCGGCGAAGCACTACAAAGTCCTCTTGCGGATTGGGTACGGGTTGGGTTCTGTCTTTGCTTCGGGTGGGATGCCAGGGGTTGTGGTGCGGACTTCAGCAATTGCATGTCCTTCGTGTGGCTCTTGGGGTTTGACCCAAGGGTGTCTCTTAGAGGCTGCAGGATGTTTGAGTCCTGTGCACGCGTGAAGGGATGGAGTTGTGGAACGATGCATCGTAATTTTGAAGCGGCAGTGGAGGTGGTCTTGCTGGCGATGCTTGTGTTCTGCTTTGTTCGTTGTTTGTCTTTGTTGGCTGCCATGTCGTGTTCCTCTTCACGGCTTTTTCATTCTGTTGCGTTTGTTTGATGGAATCAGCCCTCTTCTCTGCTCCTTGCGTTGTTTCTGGTAGTTCGCGTTTCTCTTCAGTGGTTTCAATGGTTGCCCGCTGCCTGTGTCGCGATTACCCGACTGGGTGATGTTTTCGGTGCAGATAGTGGCGCTCTTTTGTTTCTTACTGATCTCTTGGTATCTGCGAGTCAAGCCGAAGAATGCTGTCAATCCGGGATGTGCACATTCTAGTGATTGATTCTAGTGCAATTCACAGGCAATATAGAAAAATGTCTCTTCTTATTGCTTTTTTTTTCAGCACTGCGGATTTTGACACATACTCAAGCGAACACGCATGGCTGATGAGTTACACGAGAGGTCAAAAAGCAAGGTCTGAAGTCTCTCCCTTACACTGAAAAACTGCAGAGTTAACTCGCACACACTTGGAAACACCCCGAAGGGAGAGGATCAAATGAGATGAAATGAGCAAGGTCATCAAAATCAAACTCAAAAACTCAAAACATGACAATGTTCCAGATTGCGGCCAACGTGCATGACATGAATAACGGCGAGGTGGTTCTTGGGTTAGCCATATCCCATGTCCGGTAAACTTTGCAGGTTTGTCCAGTCGGCCAAGCTGGATATCCCAGTGAAATGCTGTGGCCCCCCCTCCTATCACAATTCAGCGGTGGCTGCACATGCTCATGTTATTTGTTGACCCTTTATTGCAGGGCTTTCCACACACACACAAACTTAGATTGGAATCAACAAATACCTCAGCATGAATTTGGCTTGCAACACATGATAGGAAATCAACAAAAGTCTTGTTGGATGCATGTATGTGCGGTAAAGCTAGACAATCCTCGTGTATCGCATGGAAAACACAATACGGAGTGCCACAGCAGGAAATGTGAAGCTATCGTAAAATAGACGAAACTAATCAACTGAGTGCCAAAACGCGACATCATGATGTGAGTTCCAAATATTCACAATCTTGAAGGTGAAAATGCAGCCCAAGCATTTAATTTGCCTTGCATGCATAAACCCAACAAATATCCACACTATAAATTTAATCATGTATGCTGTATGTATATATGTATACAACTATCTACTGTATCCACCTAGTTACCTACCTATCTAAATGTATATCTATCTATCTACCAATCAATCTATCAATCTATCAATGAATCAATGAATCAATGAATCAATGAATCAATGAATGAATGAATGAATGAATGAATCAATCAATCAATCTATCTATCTATCTGTCTATCTCTCTATCTACTGTATCTATCTCTCTATCTACAGTATCTATCTCTCTATCTACTGTATCTATCTCTCTATCTACTGTATCTTGCTCTCTATCTACTGTACCTATCTCTCTGTTGACTGTATCTATCTCTACTGTATCTATCTCTCTATTTACTGTATCTATCTCTCTAACTGCCTACTGTATCTATCTATATCTATCTGCTGTATCTATCTACTCTATCCATCTACTCTATCTATCTACTGTATCTAGTGTATCTGCTGTATCTACCATATCTGCTGTATCTACGGTATCTACCTATCTATCCCTCTATCTCTCTATCTATCTGTCTGTCTGTCTGTCTATCTACCTATCTACCAATTTACTTATCTAGGGCGTTGGCGGAAGTTTCAAAAATAGGAAACCTATAGGAGAGGTGAGTTGTTGTGAATCATGGATGGGAGAGCGAACGGATTGATGGACCGAAAGGTGGTTGGGATGTCGATCTATCTATCTATCCATCCATCCATTTACCTGTCTATCTGCCTATCTGTCTATTTATCTCTTTATCTCTCCATCTATATATCTATCTACCTATGTTTCTAGTCTAGTTGTCTGTCTACTTATCGATCTGTCTATCTACCTATCCACCTATCTGTCTTTCCATCCATTTGCTCAGCTCTCTACCTGTCTATGCAGCCGTCTATCCATCAAACATCGTCAGTCGGACCGGTGTAGGGTTGCAGAAAATTTTAGCGGTCAGAAACAACACACACACTTTGGTAAACTCCATAATGGAGAGGGTGAAATGAGATGAAATGATAACCGTCATGTCGTGTTGTTACATTAGCATGTCATGTCATGTCATGTCATGGCATGTCGGCATGGGTGGTTTTTGGCTTGGCCACCTTGCCATTTCGGATGCAGGTACGTTTTCACGACGACATAGATGGGTCTTCGTTGGCCCGTGCCATCTATGCGTCCACGGGCCCCCTGCTTTTCCCTTTGATTCAGGGTTTCTCACACACAGCAAGCCACTAGGGCACGATGTTTCCATTCCGCTGCTTGTTCTCTTAGATCCAAGGTTTCCACTTAGACGTATATCAAGCCGCTGGACACGATTTTTCCAAGAACAACTTCCCTCGGTGTGGTTGTTTTGGATTGAATGCGAAGAAAATGACCCCTCAGCGCTGTTGGTCTTGTGTCCCATATGTCGAAAACCAAATTACAAACAAACCAAAGTTTTTTGGAGTTGAAACTGAACGGATAAGACTGGTGGTTTGAAGTGAATATATTAGGTATAAAATCAAGTCTCCTGCTTGACCAAAGAACCAATCAGCAAGTATGCCGAAGAAGCAATGTCGGTTTGTAGATCTGTGTCGTCTGCGTCGCCTGGTGGTGGATCTGTGCTTCTTGCGTGTGGTGCGAGATCGTGTACGGCTGTGCTTGTTGTGACTCAGTGGTGGAGTTGAAGCTGTAGTGGTTGGAAATTGCTGTGAAAATGGCGTGGCTGGTACTGGTTGTACTAGTGTTGTGCTTGTTGACTGTGGTGTAGACTGGTAAGTGACGAATGATCCATATTGTGGTGGTGAGAGCTGAAGATTGGGTATGGCTGCATTGTAATGTGGTGGTGGCTGAAGACATGGCATGGCTGTGCTGTGATGTTGTGTGTTGAAAGCATAGAGGTTGTGTAAACGCAGAGTTGGCAAATGGTGCTTGTGTTGGCTTTGGGACGGTGTGTCCCATAAGTTGTTGTGGTTGTTGTGGTGGAGTTGGAGCAAAAGGCTGTCTGAAAGCTGCAGTGGCACACTGTGGTTGCATTGAGTGTGGTATAGTGTGTCCGGCTGGATCATGTTGTTGTGGAGTCTGAGAGAATGTTGGTAGAAAGGTGCTGATGCTTGTGTGTTCTGTGATGCTTGTGTGTTGCACATAAGTCGTCGTCGAAGCTGAGCGTAGAGCCGGTGTCCGATTCCCAAATAAGTGGTGCGTAGTGCTTGTCGTAAGTGTGGTGTTGAGTGTTGT